TATGAAGTCACTGATGGTAAGCATCTGCAGCCAGTCTGTGTGTAGATGATAGTGAAGATACTGTTACTGATCCTTATTTTTGCAGTACTTTACATTTGTTCTCATAGTGGACAACAGCACTTCATAAATTGTGTATCGTTCAAGTACTTCTGTCCCTTGAGCAGAAAATACGCTGTACAACTGTTTTCTTAGGGACCACCTGAAGGTTCCTTCCATGTCAGTAATTGCTAGTTTGCTCTTTTGATAAACAGAATCTAGATTTTTTTTTTTTTTCACCATGGAAAATAATGTTAGAATTTCCAGTTTTATTGAATGGTATTTCTCTTGTTCACATTTTGGGCAATAACTAGAATTTGAATATGCCACCAGTTGTTTCTTATGGCATCCTAGGCTGGAATCTGATTACACATGGGCTGCCCTTGAAGAGTATTCAGTGAATTTATATTCTCAAGGAACATTAGATTGGCATTTTTCTCCTTGGAAGTTGTGAATTATGTATGTCCTCTATGCTCATTTGGAGGAAAGCATACTGAGTCTTCCATCTCCCATGCTTAGCTATGCTTGTGCAGAACTTAATGCTTCAAAACTTCAGTAAAATAGTGCACATGCTATAAAATACACAGAGATGTCCCAGCGACAGGTAGCAAGAGCAGCAGTAGATATTTAGCTTGCTTAATGCGAAATGCTTCGTAGTGCAGCAAGTATGTTCTGGCAAAAATGCTGCTATGTATTCCAATAGGATAGCAATGTTTATAGTGTCTAAATAATAATAACAGTATCAACAATACCAAATCCTTATATAATGGTTCCATTAGTACATTGCATGGTGATTTTCAAAAGAGGTCTGGCTATCCTCATTCTACAAATGAAGAAGCTGAGGAACAGAAAGGAAAAGTGGTTTGCCCACATTCATCTAGAATTTCACTGGCAGAAACAAAACCTGTGTTAGTGTGATTTTGTGCCCACTACATGATATTGCTCCCTATTGCTTGTCCCTGTGCACCATTCTGAAAGTTGCTTGCATAAGAAGCTTTCCTGACCCTATATAAAAATGTAAGCCATAGTCAGGTATTATAAGGTTAATTCAGGTGTCTATTTCTTTACCTTCTGCTGCAAAATACAAGTCGTCTCCCTGAAAAATGGTCTCAGTCACTGAAAAACATAGGTTCCACTGCCAAGGATCCAAATTTATTTGTTGTTGCTAGTTGTGAACTAATACAGAGGAATACAGAGTCTGTATTTCATTAATAGTTAATTGCACAGCAGTAAGAGGTTATGAATGGAATTGAAGTCTGCAGGGGAATTTTTTCTTCCGTGTGTACATCTTTTCCTTGTTCCAACTGCATCTGATGTCCAGGATGCTTTGCTTTATTTTCTTTTATTCCTTCTTACTGACTAATCACCTGGGATATTACTTGAAGCAGCCTACTTGACTTACTGCCACTCTTTTTATTTCCTGAAAAGAAACATGATGAGCATGAGGAAAACAGCACAGGAAAGCAGAGAATGAAAAGAAGCACAAGGAAGCAAAAGAGAGAAAAGGACAGAAAAGGTAAACATACACCAAGAACCACAAAGGAAGAAAGATCGACCAGAGGGAATTGGTTTGCCTTTGTGGGGTGTTTACTAGAATTTGTGCTCTGTATTCCAAACTGGCCTTCTTCCAGTGCGTCCCATCCTGTTCTCCTTCAGTCACTCCTACAAGCTGTCTCACCTACCCACCTCACAGCAGAAATCATCTTTAGTTCTTGCAGAACACCTGAGAGGTGTGAAAAGCCTGTGCATAGCTGGTATCAGTTGACATGATATTGTCATACTTCTCAGCTGCCTGAGGGTATGTGAAGATCATTTCCATTCTCCACTGAAAGCTGATCAGCAGGTTGAGAAGACAAGAGAGACTGCAGGTCTAAGCAAGCCCAGGAAAAACACATGCTGCCTTTGCCTCAATATGGCAAATTCAGGAATTGATAGTAGAATGCAGACTGAGAGAAGCATGAGCAGAAAACGAAGGAAAAGAGGGGGGACACAACTGCATAGGAGAAGGAATACATCTTTGGAGGAAGGTACCATTTAAAAAGAGGAAGAGGCACAGAGTAGAGTTGAAAGAACGTGAAAAGTGAGAGAAAGAATAATCTAGAGCTAGTAGGAAAAGGAACAGGAAGGCTGATCAGAGGGAAAGCTGAAAAGCTCTGAGCGACTGGGAAAAAAGGAACAGACACAGAGAAAGACGCAAAGATGGTAACAAAGAAAACAACAGGAAATACAATCAGCTATTTTTTCTTACCTATAGAAAATATGCTGCAAATACATTACTACAAAATTAATATCTAAAAATAATTGTTTATATAGAATGGAAAATGGGGACAAAACTCTAGAGGAGAAGTGACTGAAATAAATAGGCAGGTCCTCTTCCCTCAATGCAACAAATCCAAATGCTGGATTTGTCAAGACAGGGTTTTTTTTTCTGAATGATATTATGGTTGTATGTGTGCAGTGGGAAAATATAGGAAGCATTTCTCTTCTGATTGCTTCACTTATTACAGTTTTCACAATAAAATCACAAGAAAGCCCCAGTAAAATATAATTTAGGTGTTTTAGCACTGCATGTATGTCATGGACTATTTTAAAATGCAGGAAATGAATTTGAAATGAGAGTATAATTAATCTAGTACTTTGCACAAATTTGTTATTGCTGATTAAATGTATGTCATTATTTGTCTGCATTTAATGTGGAGTGCTGAAATAAGTTCTTGAGCATGTACTAATTTATATCTCCTCATAGCCCATTGCTCTCTGTCAGTACCCCCATTTCTAAATGAATGGGTGTTAAGAGAGGAAGAGAATGAAAAGAACATAACAATGAGATATTAAAAATTATTCATGTACCAAAGTGTATGTAGAGAGAGATGCAACAAGATTTTCAGACAGATAGATGTGTATTAGTAGACGGAGAGTTGTGTGCACACAGAAAAATTGAGAAAAGCAGTTAAATGAGAGTGCATCATAAACCAAAATACTTTTCCTTCCAGGTCATGTAGATCACTTTAAGATCACCAATTGGCAGTTAGGACAATGAACTGCATGCAGACCACCAGCCAGCTCCAAAGAGGAGCACACAGTAGCATCATGTTCACAAAAAATGAGGTTGATTGAACAAGAGCTCATTGAAACTTTTGTGAGAAGTATGCGGAGGAAGAACATAAAAGCTTTTGTTTAAGAGACTGATTCACTCACATGGAGAATGATCACGAGTTTAGACATAAAGTAAGGGGCATTAATAAGCTAAGTGGGTCCAGTTTTTGTCGTTCCTTGGCATGCATAGATAACAGTGTTTAATCACTGACAAGAAATTGAGCAGTATAAACAAGGGAAACCATGACTGTTAATAAAGACTGTCTTTAGGTGCCTACTTGTTCCACCTGGATATTCTGTAGAGATTTGTGCAGAAATGCAGCATGTCAGAAAGGATGCTAATGCTAATCCCAACATGACATTGTGAAGAGTGCTCCAAAACGTGCCCACATTCTGCTTGAAACATGAGTCCAGACCTCATGCTTGAGGACACTGCAGACACACTATCTGGAGGTAAATTCATGCTCAGACATGGGTTTTTGGGAAGCCTTACAGAACACTGGAAGAGGAGGTATGGGCCAACATCATCTCTTTGAACCATCCTAGGCATGCAGCTTTCTCACCCTTTCTACCATCCTGTATTTTATCTGATTTTGCAGTGAAGTTGCAATAGCTGCCATCAGCCAAACAAGTCAAACAAACATTAAGGCCTTTCTAGAAGAAACCTGACACTGAACTCTGGAGGGTGAGCTGTGATCACAGCAGGGAATGAGTGCAGGGTACCTTCTAGTAATATAGCCATGCAGGTGCTGATCTATTGGCAATGTGGACATAGGAATATTTGTTCTGAAGCTCATGAAATTTCAACTTCTCTCATCTATTATTGAAGTAGGAATAGCAATGGGGAAGTGAGTAAATATCAGAAAAACTGTCATACCTGAAGTCTGTAATTTTGTTCCACTTTTTTGCTTTGTTGTATTTGTCCTTAAAAAAAAAAAAAGTTCAAAGAAAACATTATGCCTTTGCCAACAAACTCAGGAAAAAGTCTTACCCTAGTAATAACATTATGTACCAGGCTCAGTATTAAATAGGTGCTATTTTAATCTCTTTCTGTCTGCAGTAGAAACATGTATTGCTAAATGATGTAGTAAGACTTGTCTTGAAGTGCAGACACACTAACACTCCAAGATACTTGAATGTTATAGACTGCACTTACATATGACACATCTGAACATAGCACACATCTGAACACATCACTTAAGGCCTAGGCGTAGCTTGAGAAGTGATTATGTTGAAGTCTTGTTCTTTGCTGTCATGCTTATGCTCATGTAAGTGACAGAGTTTTCATTTCCTTCTGCCATCTAACTTTTTCTTGCCTAGTTTGTGCAACACCACTGACAAAAAAATATGCTCCTTTTCTGCACAAGTCAGGATGGATATGGCAGTGAAGGAGGTACAGAAAAGACAGATTACTGGTGCCAGGACGTGTTGCTGATTTTGGGCAGAAAGGATACACTGAGCCTGCCCCATGCTATATGATTCCATCATACACTGGGCATCTAAATCAAAGCTGTCTGTATGCAGAGCCTTCAGCATTCAAGGAGACCACTCGCACTTGAGTCACTGAACATTCATGCACTTTTGCTTGATTGCCCATCTTTGTGAACCCAGGGGGTGGGAGCGTGGGCAGGGGGAATGGTCTTTCAAAAGCACCTAAACGTCTGAGAAACCAAAGTCGGGATACTTGGAAACCGCACCCTGTATTCATCAGCTTCCTAATCCATGAAAGCATTAGGAAAATCACCGTAACCCTGAAAAGGTGTTGCAATAATAGACTTTCTGAAGACAAAAGTATGACATGTTTTACTTTTGAAAGTCAGCAGCAGAAACTAAGTATATCATCAGAATCGTTTTCCAAACATACCTACCTAGTTTTCCTCTTTTCTGTGTTTTTGCTCTTCTTTGTATCCAGAGGATCTATATTCTTTGACTGCATGGTGGTTTCTTGCCTGGTTGGTTTCAGGGAGCTGTGGAAGGCTTCCCCTTTCCTTCCACTTGCTTCTGCGGGACCCACCGTACCTGAGAGGGGAACTTGGTTGGAGGAGGTTTGTTTAGTAACGTCTTCCTCTGTTTTGGGGTTAGGCACATCTTGTAGGTCATCCCTCTTGAAGGAAAAAGGTAAGATTAACAGATACAGTAGCAACTGACATAAAAAAGAGCTCTGCACAGACCTGTTTAGCCCAACTGGAACTTTGTGATAATTTCCTATATAGTAGTCCTAGTCCCCTATATACTGAATATTCTGCTATAAAGTGGCATCAGACAGACCATCCGTAGGAAAAGTCATATATTTACCTAGAAGAGAGACTACTGTTTCTCCTACATTATCAGTTTGTTGGTGATTACTGGCCTACAGCTTTGGCTAGAGGTGACTATGCAGTCAACCAAGGGATAACAGGTCCCAAAGCTTAACCTCTGAGAGCTGCTTGTGGCTTCTCCAAGTTCTCTGCTTCTGATTCATGTCCAGGACTCCTTTATCTCCAGGTTATTCTCCTCTTTTTGCTTGTATTTGGAAGCTGAGATAAGATCTTTGCTCTCCCTCCTGTCCAGATTTTGTCCCTACTAAAATCTTTCTATGCCTCCTGCTTTCAAGTAGCTGAGGCAGGGATACCTGTAAACCTCTCGTGTGGATGTCTAAACATGTAGAGAGCAGGGAGGATGTAATAATGGAAAGGAAAATCCAAAACTTAAAAACTGTCAGTACAAAAGTCAATAGTGAGTGACAGCCAACACCTCAAGGTATTGAAACACTGATGAATGTGTGGCTGCAAAAATGACACATCTATTCTGCAAAATCAAATAGAGATTCTAGGTCTGGAGCACGATTTTAGTATATTGAATCACTAGTAACATCTGCTGTACATGCAGGAGCTGACATTCGTGTCAGGCCAGCTTATGTCCAGATGGTTGTACAAGGATCTAGTCTTTGACATCAGATGAGAGACAAAGCAGAAAACCCAGAAAAAAGGTGGCTATGTAGGGACAGCTGAAGCAGGAAAGTATCAATTAAGAAATTTTATAAATCCTGTGCTTACTTTCTCTTAACCACCTATGCATTCTCGACTTAACCAATATGGTTGTGGGATGTGGCTGTGCAGATTTTTCAGCCAAAACTGAGTCCTATATTTTCTGCAAATCTAATCTGAATATGCTAGTTTTCCCCCTAGATTTTCTTCAGTCATCCCTTTAGCTCATCACTGACTTTTCTTGAAAGAATAATCTCTCTCTGTTCTCTCTCCAAAATTCTATTTTTTTCTAGTCTACTTTTAATATTTCTGCTGTGTGCACAGAGCTGTTCCTTCTCTCAACTACCCGTGGCCAGGGAGAAGATGGGAGATCCTGAGTGCGAAGAAAAGGTGTACATGCAGCACTGAGCTTTGGCCATGTGATTGTGTTTTTTTCATCTCCCTGTGAATGTGCTTCTGCTTGGCTGAGAGCTGGGTTGGCTTGAATAGGAACTAAAGACACATCAGGGCCTGTGCTGACAAAATGTTGTCTGCTTGGAACATAGCTTTAACTGTTAACCATCTGAGTTTCTTCCTAAGTGTGACTCTAAGGCAACAGGTCCCTTCTGTGCTAGTGAAATTTCTGTTTGTGATATTCTTTCTAGGACATTCTGAAGCATTTTTGCTGACCCTCACTATTCTCCTTGTTTCTCTCTTAGCTACAGTGAGCTGCTGCCTTCTGCCTGTCTGGCTGCCCACTGTAGCATTTCCCTCAAGAACTTTCTCTTTCTGTCCTTTGATTGGATCAAATGCCTTTGCCCTCTTTGCTTATTAGTTGTCAGTTTCTGCATGGGTCTCAGATGTGCCATGTCTTTCCTCCTCTGCTTTTTTTCAGTGGGCTGTGGAATTCAGTCAAAAAGAACCATTTAATAACATACTGCTAACTAAACTCTGAACAATAAGTAGTATGCTATTTATTGATTTGCAAAAATCTATCACGGCTATGGCGTGCCTAGCATCCTCACTCCCATTGCCCTGAAATTCTGTAGGGAGTTTACAAGCACCTAGTTATTTTGATAAATAGAACAGTAGCCCCTTCAAAGCACACAAAAACTTTGACTTGAGAGTTAGTAAAGAATATTGGAGCAAGTGATATTTTCTGATTGGTCAGCTTGAACTTTTAATACCTAGTTGTGAGACTCACATTTTCAGATGAGTTGTTTGGCCTGGGAGCTTTCTTGTGACACATGCCAAGATCCTTGCATTTTACATTGACTTCGGTGTTGCTGGTATTTTCTGGGCATTTCAGGAGAGAAATGAGCTGCAGCCACAGGTGGAATAGGTGTTGTTGCTGGTCTGGTGGGGCACAGAGCTCTAGATAATAACAACGGCCATTTATTAATTTTAACAGGAGGTGATGCTTATCTGTGCTGTGGACAGAGAGTTCCACAAACTTCAAGGGGAAGAACCTATAAAAAAAGGTGGAAACTCATCATTAAGCACAAGTGGAGATTCCTCTCAAAGAAAATATTGTGTCTGTCAGACCTACAGATAGAATAAGACTAAAAGTGAGAAACTGGAATAGGAAGAAGCTGCCGAGTGGATTTGGAAACTCTTCTTATGAGTGCCTCTAGCTGATTGTGGAAGAAATGCTGGGCAGCAGTGCACAGAATGGAGGCAAAGGAAATTGGCTTCTCTACAATGCCTTTATTCCACTGCCTCATTCCCGGACAATCCTGTACCCCAAATATTCCTACCAGCTTTCAGCTTCTGATATATTTAGAAAAAAGTTTTTCAAGTATTCATAGTCATCAGCTGTCTATATGCATGTGGGTAGCGTTGGCCTGAAATGATGACCGGAGTGGGGCTTAAAGGTGTGTATTTAAACTTAAGTGATTCTCCTAACTTTACTGTACTAGTGCTGGGACAAAGAGTCACTGCAAATATGAGGTCTGTTAATAAACTGACCCTTAAAAGAAGGAAAACACTGTATGGAAATAGGAAATACATTCATATTTCTTATTTACTCTTTAAAGAAATATTTAACCCTTCTCAGTGCTAACTGACCTGGTAAGTGCTAGCTGTTCCATGTGGGATGGCCACTCTGAGAGTTTCCAGAAGTTTTTTGTACTTTCTTGTGGGGACACGGGCACCTCACGTGCTACCAGCATTGCATTAGGCATTGGTGAATGGGGATTGGCAGCACAGATGCCGATGGTCACACAGCTGGGTCTGTTATGGACAGAAATTGGTTCCCCTCTTCGATTAACCTGAACAACAACAACAAAAAAGCCCTATCAACACTTATATTTGCTATATGATCTCTCAGAGAATATACTACCAATACATTTCATGGTGTTTTGGCTTGGGGGCCCTAAAGTTTATGTACTGGGTTGGTGAGGAGAAGGGAATGTAGAATAACAATACAGGAATGTGTATGAATGAAAAGAAAGGAAAGAAGTTGAATAAGGATAAAAGAGGACTGGAAATCACTGGCTGTTGTGTAGTCTAAATCATTGGGTATGCAATCGCTGTGGTCAGAAATCTCTTGGGTACTATTATCTTGAATTTCTCTTAGTGTAAACATGATGGAAGAGGCACTCTGTTCTGATGATTCACTGTCTTTGTCAGCATTACTGTGATATTAATGAGACCTGGTTATGAACCAGGATCCTGCTAGGTGCTGTACAAACACAGAATGGAAGAAGATCCCAAGTAATTTATGTGTAAGACATGAAATTACAGAAAGAGAAAAATGAGGAAATACAAAGAGATACAAGTAAGTGGGTAAGTATGATGGAATCACATTATGTACCATTGTCAGGGTTTAGTTTTGATAGGCATCAGAGAAAAAGTGTGTCCTAAGAAAGAATTTGAGGGAGGACAGTGCATTGTGAATATCTAGTAGAATCTCCTCCAAAGTGTGAGAGACAGTATGTAAAAAAGATCAAAGGCTTTTTTTTTTTTCCATTTTAATGTAAATGAGTCAGTGATGTTGCTGTTTTCTTGGGTTGATTGGTTAGGGCAACTGCCTCATTGATAGTAAATGAGGTCTGATAAATAAAGCAGGGATAAATTATAAAGTGCCTTGAAAATGGAGAGTCTAGCTAATTAACATTCTGCATGTGTATCAACAATACAAGATTGAATTAATCAAGGCAAGACCAAAGATGTTGCAATTATCACAAAGTGAGGTAATGAAACCCTATGAAAAACACTGTGGAGATACATCATGTAAATAGAATTCAGATATTTTAGACACACTGTGAATGCAGTATTGTAGGAGTGTAGACTGTTGCCAGAGTCTTACAGGGTTCTTTGTCCATTGCATAGGGTAAGTGACAGGCAGGGTAGTGATATTGCCTGCAAGGATACTAGAAGTTGCAAATGGGGGGAGATTGCCTGGGAAAGGCTGGCTGCCATTTAGGCTAGGTTGAACAGATGTTGATGGCTAAAAACCCTAATGAGATAGCACAAACCCAGAAATTTGCTAGAACAGTCCTAGCTGTTGCTACAGGAAGCAGTAGGGGCTGACAAGGAAGGGTGAAAACATCATTCTTTGTCCTCCTCCTCTAATTTGCGGCACTGCTGTTGCTGGATTTCTGGGCTATTGCCTTTAAAGTGTGAGCAGAATGAATCTATAGGAGAAAGGAAACATCCATATATGTGTAGTAAACAGAGATTAAGAATATGAGGAATACCTGTTGACCTGAGGGAGAGGAAAAAAGGGTAATCATTGCAAGCAATTTTATCTTGAGCATGCCAGATTATTTCATCTGAATGACTTTTTACCTGGACAAACTTGCTCTCGAAGATGGGGGCAGAGGTAAAAGGAGCATATTCTCCTTGCCTAAGAAGTCTCTGAAGGTCACCCATAATGGATGCCTGACTTGAACTGATGCTCTTAAAATCCAACTTTCTATTCATTTTGCCTATCCACAAAACAAAAATAAATTTACAAGTTAAAGGGAATAGAGATAAAAAGACTTAAATGTTAAAAAAACCCTGATGATTATGAAAAGAAACAAACATAATCCTCCTGATAGGCTTTATTATACTACTAAAGAGCAGAACCTCTCCCCACAAAACACACATTTTTAAGAACATGCGATTTCAAGTGCAAAGGGGAACTTAGCAAGGCTTTTTTACAGCTCTTGACTCCTCTTTTTTTCTTTATTTAAGGAAAAAGGGCCTGTGAATCTATAAACACTAGTCTGCACATGCTATTCTATACTTCAGTATGTTCTTGTTTATAAGTAATCTTTGTATATTTTTGCCACTGTTAAGATAATTTTTTTTTAATTAATGTATTTTTTACATGAGTATAGTGACATGCTTTGCAAATAACAGTAGAAACCCTTGGGCTGTTCTCAGTGACTACTATCTTTGCACCTCTTGGATCACATATGTTTTTGTCAGGAGTCAAGAGGAGGGCAGGACTTACAAGATGCTCTGAAGTAGAAATTCTCCAGCAGCTACCTTTTACACAAAAGCTGGAGAATAACTAACATAGCTTTGATTGACTCATCGAGGGAAAAAAAACCTTCAAGGCTACTCATTAATTATATTTCATAAACCTTTATTAAACAGCTAATTTCTATTAACCTAAGTAGTTACAAAAGTCAAATGATTTGTTCACGACTGCTCAGTAAGTGGCAGAATGCCAAGAAAAATAGAAATACCCTACTGCTGGGTGTTTAAAAAAAATAGATGTAGTAGACTTCTACTTCCCATGCATACCTTGTTTCACTTAGGTCAATCCATTTCTTACACAGAGGAGTATGTCTCAGAAAAGAGAGGACATGAGTGTGCTAGTCCCTTCTGCAAAGCCTGCTGGAATTCTCCCAGCATCAGAAACCTTTCTTTAAGAAGTGGTGGTACGTGAATGTGTGTACGTGAGGCAGCAAGTTTTGTCATAACAAGCAGGCAGGGTGGTCTGGAAGAACCCAGCCCCATCACTGCTGGCATCACAATACATCACCTGGTTTGTGCTCTCACCAGTCCTGGCAGCAATTCCATTTCTTGGTTGCATCAGGGCATAGTGGTAACCGGTAGCATGGGTTCACCTGTAACATGGACACAGTAAGGGCATGGTAACATCAGAGATTTTTGCATAGGCATTGTCCATGCAGTGCAGGCTGCCAGGGAACAGCAAGAGTTGGTCTGCTCCATGAGGGACAATGAGCTGGGAGCCAAAGGCAACCTCAGCAGAGGCATTGCCTTCATCAGGCAAAGAATAGGCCTCCAGTCCTGCAGAATTCAAAGTGAATGGTAACAGGGTCCACTGACAGGCACAGACAAGACAAGGTGCAGAACCAGATCTGGAGTCCATCCTAAGACTCTGTGCCAGGAACCCACTCAGGAGGAGCAGCAGCAGGCAGGACTGGTGACAGGACTGTAATAGATGTCCAAGAAAGTCCATGCAGGAGTCAGGGCTAGCAATAGATACGCCTATAGCCTCTCTCAAACAAGAACTAGGTGCCCGGGCCAGGGCTGAAGTGTATCTCCCAGCGCCATGGGCAGGTGGTGTGCAGTGGAGGTCCCAGGTAAGGCTGGTCAGCGCAGTTAAGGCCTATTGGTGCACTCAGGGCCCTGGCCTGAGTGTTTATGAGCCAATTTAAAATGCACCTTGTATTCCTGCGTCTTGCTCTGGTTTGTAATTTTGAGCTTCTCTCTATACATTCTTTTGCCAGAGTAACCTTTTAGATCAGCCAGGTGATGTCATGATCAACATATGATGTTAACTCCTTTTTTTCACCTTAAGTGATAGCAGTGCTGCTTCCAGCTCAGCCTGGTGTTTGCACAGGGTTCAGGCCGTGACTGAGCACCAGGCTGGCTGAGGCACAATCGGTATTGCAGAATGAGAGTTATGTGGTCTGACAGTTTGAAGAACTGTTGTGCAATCTCCTTTGCGGGTACACAGCCTCCTTTGGGGGGGTACACGTCCATCCTTGGTAGGGCCCACCATAGGACAGCTTCTGGGCCGTCTGATAATACTATGCACTGACATAGCAACGCCCAGCAGAAGTGCTTTCTGCTCTCTCCACTATACGAGGCAACTCTGATCCAATGTGGAAAACAATGGTGCTTTTCTTTCCCAGCTGGATTTCAGCTGTGTAATATACACGGCCGGAGAAGGATAAATAGCCTTACTGCAGCAAAACCACCACCACCAAGCCCTTTTTCAACATTGAATTGCCTTTCCCTCTCTAACCAATGGGAATGTAATTGTGAACACCGCCACGAGTGACCGACTGAGCTGGAGGAGACTGACTCCACAGTCAAGTGGTCACAGCTCTTGCCTGAACCATGGAAGGTACCAGTCCTGCCTACCTACCCCAAATACACGCATGCACTCAGCCCTTGTTTGGACTGTGCAGTAAGTGTGGTATGTGGATACCAGAGGAAGGAGAGTCTGAGCTAAGATGGTGTTAGGAAGCAGTAGAACTAACAAAAGCTCTTGTACAGCAGGATAATAACATTTGCACACCTGTTGTGGTTTAGCCCCTGTGGCAACCAAGCACCACACAGCTGCTCGCTCACCCTCCCCCCCACGATGGGATGGGAGAGAGAATCAGAAGGGCAAAAGTAAGAAAACTCGTGAGTTAAGAACAGTTTAATAACTGAAATAAAATAATAATAATAATAGTAATAAAAATTGTAATGAAAAGGAGAACAATGAGAGAGAGAGAAACAAAACCCAGGGGGAAAAAGAAACAAGCAATGCAGCCACTCACCACCCGCTGACCAATGCCCAGCCAGACCCTGAGCAGCAATCGCTGCCCCCCAGCCAACTCCCCCCAGTTTATATACTGAGCATGATGTCATAAGGTATGGAATAGCCCTTTGGTCAGTTTGGGTCAGCTGTCCTGGCTGTGCCCCCTCCCAGCTTCTTGTGCACCTGGCAGAGCATGGGAAGCTGAAAACTCCTTGACGATTGTAAGCACTACTTATCAACAACTAAACCATCAGTGTGTTATCAGCATTATTCTCATACTAAATCCAAAACACAGCACTATGCCAGCTACTAGGAAGAAAATTAACTCTATGCCAGCCAAAACCAGGACACACCTAAGACAGCATTACTATATGATACTCTTGTTGTGCCATGTGCATGTTCTGGCATGGACAGTGCTAGCTAGCTCAGGTGCCTCTGCATCGCTCGCTCTAATGTGTTGACATGTATTTAATCTTCCGGTCTAAGGATAACGCATCACCTATTGTAAGACATGTGTCTATCAGTTTTTCGAGACACATTTTATGTGGTTTTTGAGGGTGGTGGTGGGGTGGGTTGAATCCTGGTAGCCTGACAGAAGCGAGGCTGCTACAGCTCCATGCCCTCAGGTCCAACCAACAATAAGTCTGAGCATGTATTCCCAGTAGGTACAACATAACAAACTCATATACACAGCACATATACACAGCACTCACACAGACACAGACAGCACCAATGGCCTCATCCTGTTCCCCTCTCTGGCTGATCAGGATGAAGGTCCATTGGTGGGGAAATACAGACATGTATACAATGTGTATCCCTTCAGCAGCTGAGCTCAGACAATCAGTCTGTCCAGTATCTGGCTGCTGGATCCCAGTCTCCCCAGCTGCTGGCACCTGGACATTTGAGCCCCTGAGGCTGCAACCTCACTCCTGTTGCTGATACAGACCCCTCACTCAGACACACATGCATGCAGACACGTGCACACACACATACATTGTAGTCTCTGCAGTAGCTGGCTTCGGACACACAGTCCACCCAGTAGCCGGTCCTGGATCCTTGGACTTTCCAGGTGCCTCCCCCCTGGAGACACCTATGTACACACACACACAAACCCGGGTCTCATGTGACCCGGCAGACCCCACGGTCTCTCCAGCAGCCATCTGGGACTCCCCTCATCTGCCTGGTAGCTAGCTCCTCCCACGATCTTGCCTCTTCCTCACCCAGGAAAAGTTAGAAATGACATTTAATAAGATAGGACAGACTGTGGTGATCAGGCAGGGCACAGGGCATGGCCAGACAAGCATACCTATTTACACTTGACCAGCCCTTTTTATCCCTTCATCCCTCTATTTTCCTGCATCTGTTCCTCCCCTAATCCTCTACACCCATTCCTTTCACCACCTTTGGTTCCTCTCCTAAACGTCGCATAAATCTTGTGCAATCCTAAAATGCTTTTCCCCTGCACCCCACAATGTGTTCTGCACCCCCAGGCAGTAACCTCCTGTAGTCTGAAAGGTGGTTGTGAGAGCCCTGTCATTGCCCCATGTTTCGGGTTTTAGAGCGGGCAGGGGCACTCCTGCAACAGCCCTGGGAGAGGCCCAGCCGGGGAGACCCTTTGAGCCCTTAACTTGGGTTCCTGCCTGCCACTGTGCCCCTGTGCTCCTCTGGGTTTGTGGTGATGGGCAAAGCTTTGATGGGCTGATGGCTCCTGCAATGGGTCTAGGAGTAGCTGGGGCACGGTGTTATTCAGGTTCTCCCACCTGCCATCCGCTCCGTGCTCCTTTGTGTGTGTGCTTTTTATCACTCCCCCAAAGAAAGGACTGTTATTTTTGTGGGGTTTTTTTTTTTTTGTTTTAATCTAACCCTAGCCACCACCTCTTAGAAAAACTCCAGCTAATGGAGAAGGCAGCAGCATGACTCCTTAGCAACACAGACTGCCAAGAGCGTATTAAATCCTGCCTTCTGCTCTGTTCTCTGGCTTTTCATAGCACATTGGACAAATTGATTGGATTTGGCCAGTAGGGAGTAAATTACAGAAAGTCAGTCATGGATGTACAGTACCAAGTAACTACCTTTTATTTAGATGGGTTCCAGTACCATTGCAACTGCATGTGTACCTCTCCCCTCCACTCCTGAAAGACTGTCAGATAAGTAGCTC